TGTGTGTGTGTGTGTGTGTGTGTGTGTGTGTGTGTGTGTGTGTGTGTGTGTGTGTGTGTGTGTGTGTGTGTGTGTGTGTGTGTGTGTGTGTGTGTGTGTGTGTGTGTGTGTGGTGTGTGTGTGTGTGTGTGTGTGTGTGTGTGTGTGTGTGTGTGTGTGTGTGTGTGTGTGTGTGTGTGTGTGTGTGTGTGTGTGTGTGTGTGTGTGTGTGTGTGTTGTGTGTGTGTGTGTGTGTGTGTGTGTGTGTGTGTGTGTGTGTGTGTGTGTGTGTGTGTGTGTGTGTGTGTGTGTGTGTGTGTGTGTGTGAGTGTGTGTGTGTGTGTGTGTGTGTGTGTGTGTGTGTGTGTGTGTGTGTGTGTGTGTGTGTGTGATAAGCTTAAATGGTTCCCAAGCTACAGTGCTTCCACAGTGACTTCAAAAATCCTTCAAGGATTCGCAGCTCCTCTGGGGAGGCCCTAGTTTCGAACCATTGAGGGATTCCCTCCCTCGCCAGTAGCACCCCTCCCTCGCCAATGTTTGGACCGTCATTATTGACTGTGGAGCGAGAGGTCCGTCGACCCACTGGCCTGAGGAGTCTACGCCTCACAGAGAATCTTAACATCAGTTTTTCTCTTGCGTTTCGTTACTTGCACAGGCGACAACTGCATCTTAATGGTGGTGAAGACATGTTGATTATTGCTTTTCCAGACGATGAAGAATGGAGTGCATAAATTTTACGAAGTGAATGACATTATACATTATGGAGTGTAGTCGGAATAGTGATTAAATTATAACTTTAGCGTGAACGGTTATTTTGGTAAATATATTTACCATGCCCAGTTGTTTCAGTGTAATTAGTTCTGAATACTGCATGCATTATTGATGCTAAATTGACGTAGTCAGGAAGTATGTAATTTCGACCAAAATAGTTTATTTTCAGTGATTGAAGTAACAACCAGATAATTGTGTAAATGATGCATTGCTGGTTTAGTGGCATCATTCTCGTTTGCTACGCGCTAGGTCCAGGTTCGATTTCCCATTCCGATGTTCACTTCCTAACAGGTCCGGTAATACAGTAATCAGCGCTGTCCATTGATAACAGCAAGGTCCCGGGTTCGATGTCCGCACAGAATGGAATTGTTTGGGTACGTTTCCTTATACCTGATTCCACTATTCACTATTCACTATTCACACAGGGACCATGGAGTTAGGTCACGGTTGTGGGTCCATCCTGCTATCAGTCGTTGGACTTGAGCAGGGTGTCCTAAACAAAGGATGAGAGGGATTACATTCCATCCCCCATTCAGAGAGGGTTGTAATTACCACGTTGATTAATCCAGGAAGGGATTAGAGAGAATAGGCCAAAAAGGCCATAGTATTCTTTCTGATGGGCTGATGGTTATAGGACAAATATGTTTTATAACCAACAATTAAGAAGAGATTTTCTACGAAGATTTCATCCAGTGTGGACGGTCCTGCACTGTGAAGCACCACTCAAGGTTCAATATACTATACAATCTTAGCAAATAGTTCCATGAAAACGCTTCAGGTAAACCGCATCTTGAAAAGCTTCTGCAAGTATTACCCCCGAAAGGATCGCACTTCTTAAAGCTGGAATGCAGTGTTTTGAATACAATTATGCTGGATGCCATTGGGTCCATCCAATAGACGGCACAGACTACCACACATAAATCATATGTAGCCACTGTGTATATATTGCCAGAAATGGAATGAGAAGGTTCACTCCACTGGCGATGCCGTGATAAAACCCTGTGTTTTTCACAGTGTAAATCTTGTACCCCAACGAAGATGCAATTAGCTATCTCAAGCAAATCCCGCTTTCTAATAATGTCATTAAGTCTCGGATAGATATTAGGGGCTCACACTTTTCAAGATCAAGAGAGTTGCCACGAAAAACTCATCAAACGACGTTACCCATTCAAGTAGAAGAGAGTACTGACTGGGGCATCTCTCTCTCTCTCTCTCTCTCTCTCTCTCTCTCTCTCTCTCTCTCTCTCTCTCTCTCTCTCTCTCTCTCTCTCTCTCTCTCTCTCTCTCTCTCTCTCTCGCAGCTTCTTGGCTTCACCAGACACGATCATCTAGCCATCAAAGAGGATGTCCTCTTTTGTCGTCCATTGACCACGACAACTTAAGGTGACGTGATGGAACTGCTATCAAGAGCGACTTTGAAAGACTGCAATCGGAGCGTTCACAGATGATGTCCCAGCAAGGTGCAGGGGGGTCCCGATCTTGCTTCTTGGTCCTTACACATAAAAGTCCAACAGCGGGACACACTGCGTGACTCACCGTGAAGCTCTTGCTGCCAAGACTTTACCAGCACCGTAGCGTGCTCACTTCCAGACCATCAACAAAAACCATCAGTTTCATCAATGGACCAGCCCTGAACACGCACCTATATCGTGACTGAGAGGCAACATAAGGACGCTGAACACCAAGCTCTCTTAGACGCAGTTCAGATGACTGTAAAAGAGCGACATTCTCTCTCATTTATGAGCTAAGGGAGGAAGTAATGACATTCCTTGCTAAGCTAAATGAAGACAGCCAACTCACCAAGAAGAACATGCCATCATTTCATGCTCAGGTATCTGCAGAGGAGTCAGAGCAACATCATCCACCATGCAGACCATATCAACGCATTCATTGCAAAATTAGAGCTCTCTGGGCGACGGTCTGAAGGGTAAAATACCCCTTATTGCCACCACTTTCTGCCGTCATGAAAGACGTCATCAACCAGATGATCCAAGGCAGCGATCACACGGCAAATTAACTGCCGCACACTGATGAGTTTCAGCAATACTTCCCAGACATAAAGCAAAAAATATACAGTATCATTATGAGAGAGTAATGATCAACTACCACCTCAAACGTGTACACTATCACAATGTCAGCAGCTCTCCTGTTTTCGTCACAGAGAAGCAAACACCAAAGTCCCTCCCGTCCTTTGGGGGGGGACCAAAGAGCTAGAGCTCAACCCCCACAAGCACAACTAGGTGAGTACCAGCCTTCCTCTGACGATGAAATAATTAGTAATATCACCAGTGTCTAAACATATATAATATTTAGTAAGATTTTATATATTAACATAAAAACACAGAATAGTAGGAAATAAATTATTAACTAGGCATCGAAAAGTAATTAATTATTTAATAAACACCGACTGTAATCAGTTTAATTATCAAATGTTTTTTTTACCTATTGGTGATATTAATCTTAAATAGTTAAATCTTATTATGTTAGTTTTATTAATGAAACAAATTTAAATCAGTAACAATATCAAGGTTGGAAGTCATTTAAATAAGTGAAGATCATCTATATTAACTCAAATATAACCAAAATGTAAATACAGAGTTTGTATGACTTTTTTGCACAAAACTTCTTTACACAGCTGTTTGCTCAAACCGGTCGATGAGTTGAGTCCACACAGAACCAACTTCTAGAATTTTCACACACGCACACCACACACACACGCACACCCACCCACACACCCACACACACACACCACACACACACACACACACACACACACACACACACACACACACCCACACACACACCACACACACACACACACACACCCACACCCACACACACACCCACACACACACACACACACACACACACACACACACACACACACACAACACACACCACACACACCCACACCCACACACACCCACACCACACACACACCCACACACACACACACACACACACACACACACACACACACACACACACACACACACACACAGATAAGGGTGCTTAGTGGATGAGTGGACAGCGCTCCAGATGCGTAGATCTAGGGACCCGGGATCGATCCCGGGGCACGGCAGAAACAAATGACCAAAGTTTCTTTCACCCTGATGCCTTTGTTTTCTAGCAGTAAATAGGTACCTGGGAGTTAGACAGCTGCTACGGGCTGCTTCCTGTGTGTGTGTGGTATGTGTGTGTGTGTGTAGTATGTGTGTGTGTGTGTGTGTGTGTGTGTGTGTGTGTGTGTGTGTGTGTGTGTGTGTGTGTGTGTGTGTGTGTGTGTGTGTGTGTGTGTGTGAAAAATGTGTCTCGAGAAAGACACAGACTACATGAGGCTGTTGATGGCTGAGCTCCTTGAGTTGTGATTTCCAGTGTTTTGGGTGTTAACAAAGTTGGGCCGGCGAACAAATCTTAAGAACACTGGGCTTAAACATAACGGTAAGGCCACCGATAACTCCCTAGTGTTGTTGAAGGCTCTAGTGTGCTGACCAGACCAATCAGACCGGGTCTGTACCAGACAAGAATCTTCTCGCACAGTGTTCTTCCCTGTCCATACCTCGGATAAAGATTTGCAAGACAGGCCACCAAGATGGGAGCGAACTATGGCTTCATATAAGGTTTTGCAACCACTACTGTCGAGAAGATGCGAGAGTTGTCGTAGGATGTAAGTCTCAGTCTCTCTC